TGGGGCCCGGCCCGCGTCCGTGGACAGGGTCACGAGCGCTACTTCCTGCTGGTGGTTGACGACTACTCGCGTTACACCACAGTCTTCCCCTTGCGCAGCAAGGGTGATGTCGCTGAGGTGTTGATCGACTGGATCCGCGCAGCTCGTCTCCAGCTCAGGAGGAGCTTCGGCTCGGACTTTCCTGTTCTGCGTCTGCACTCTGACCGAGGCGGAGAGTTCTCCTCTGGCCTTCTGCGAGCCTACTGTCGTGCGCGAGGCATCCGCCAAACCTTAACGCTTCCGGACTCTCCACAGCAAAATGGGATTGCTGAGCGCCGCATTGACATGGTCATGGACGTCGCTCGTACGTCCATGATGCATGCGGCTGCCCCCCATTTTCTGTGGCCGTTTGCGGTTCGGTACGCGGCGCATCAGATCAACCTTCACCCCAGGGTCTCCAGACGGGAGACCTCCCCAGCCTTGCTGTGGACGGGGAAGGTCGGCGATGCGTCTGCGTTCCGTGTCTGGGGATCTCGGGCGTTTGTCCGCGACTTGTCTGTGGACAAGCTGTCCCCTCGTGCTGCTCCCTGTGTCGTGTTCTGTCCTCCCAGGACGTCACGTTCGACGAGTCAGTACCCTACTACCGCCTCTTCTCCTACCGCACTCCTTCCCTCCCCTTGCCACCGCACTTCCTTGTGCCAGGTCCCCCCCCGGTAGACCCCCTCCCCCCTCAGGGTCCTGCCCCTTCAGGTGTGTCCCAGGAAGATGCAGTTGAGCCTGTCGAGGTTGCTGGTAACTCTGGCTGCTGCGGGTGCTGAGCCTGGGGGTGCTGACTCTGGAGGTGCTGCGCGCGTGTGTGGTGAGCCTGGGGGTACTGCGTCTGGGGATGCTGCGACTGGGGGTGCTGAGCCGGGGGTTGCCGAGCCTGGGGGTGCTACGACTTGGGGTGCTGAGCCTGGGGGTGCTACGACTGGGGGTGCTGAGCCTGGGGGTCCTTCGCGTGGGGGTGTTGCGTCTGGAGCTGCTGAGCCTGGGGGTGCTGAGTCTGGAGCTACTGAGCCTGGGGGTGCGGAGCCCGCGGCCGCTGGACCTGTTCGTGTGGCGTCTGGCGGTGCTGGGCCTGCTGATTCTCCGGGTGCTTCGTCTCGGCGGGAGCCACTCTCTCCACAGGAGCTGCGCGAGTGGTTTGCCCGGCGCTGGAGGCGTACTAATGGAGCTGGTGCTTCTTCGGGTGCTGAGGGTGCTGGTGCCGCCGGTCTCGGAGGTGCTAGTCCTGCGAGTGCTACTGGAGTCGGAGCTGCTGAGGGTGTTGGCGCTGAGGCTACTGCTGTCAGTTCTGGCGGCGGTCCTGCTGCAGGTGCTACTGGTGCTGCTGGAGGTACTGGAGCTGGAGGTGCTGTTGACGCTGGTGCTGCCGCTCGGGGTACTGGTGCTGTCCCTGCTGTGTCTGGAGTCGCCGCGCGGCCTCGGCCGTACTTTGTTCCGCTCCTTAAGCAGGTTCTTGGTCTTCCTCCTCCCTTAGGGTGTCCATCGCCTGTCCAGTCGCAGTCGCAGTTACCACCGATCTCCCCACTGCCTTCTCCTTCTCCCTACACTGGTCCTACTGGAGGTCTTGCTGAGCGTCGTGAGCCTGCGTCTCGTCCTGCGTCGCCTGTTCGTGCTGCTCGCACTAGTGGTCGCAGTTCGCGTCAGCGTCCTCCTCGTGTCCCTGGCACGCACCGGATGTCTCTGCGTCCGTCCACTGCTCCTCTGCGTGCCCCTTTGCCCTCTCCTCCTGAGTCCTCTCTTCCTGTGCTTGCCGACCCTGAGTCGGACTCTCTTCGTGCTGCCAGTCCTACTGTCACGCGTCTCCTAGCTACTGTCGTCACTGACCCCTCCTTTGAGTCCACTGCTGCGTCTGCTCTTGTTGCTGAGCTCGTCGACTTTGCTGCTCGCTGTCGTCTAGACTACACTGCTAGTCTTGTTGCTGAGTCTGCGTCTGTCTGTCCTCATGTACCTGATGACCTGCACACGACCTGACCTTGCATACCCTCTTAGCATTCTTGCACGCTATGTTTCTCCTGGGAGACACAGACCAGAGCACATGGCTGCAGCGAAGAGGGTGTTGCGCTACTTGTGCAGTACGTCGGGCATGGGGCTAGTGCTTGGAGGGCGGAGTCCAGTGGTCCTCACTGGGCATGCGGACGCTTCTTGGGCAGACGACCAGGCTACGCAGCGGTCGTCACAGGGTTACACCTTCAGCCTTGGTTCCGGCTCTGTTTCGTGGCGGGCTACTAGCTCGTCTTCGGTTCTCGGCTCCAAGTGTGAGGCTGAGATCTACGCCGGGGCCATGGCTGCACAGGAGCTTCGCTGGCTCACCTACCTGCTGACTGACCTCGGAGAGCTGCCTCGTTCTCCTCCGGTGCTGTACGTAGACTTGCTAGCCTTGTGTCGGGAGCAGCGCCTGGAGCACAGAACGAAGCACATTGCTCTCCGCTACTTTCTTGCTCGTGAGTTGCAGCAGCGTGGTCACTTGCGACTTGCGTACGTGGCCTCTGAGGCCAACACTGCTGATGTTTTCACCAAGGCACTTGCGCCTTGTGATCATCAGCGCTTCTGTACTCAGCTTGGTCTTGTGCCTGTCTTGCCTCACTTGCTCACCTCTTGACCTTGCTTGTACTGTTACATATATATACACCTGCTCTTGCTTGTCTAGCTTTCTATATTTATGTACTCATGCATGTGAACTGGCCTTGTGGCCTTGAACTTGTGCTCGGAATGTGTGGTGACTTTGTGATCCACCCTGAGCTTGCTTTGCTTTGCTTTGCTTGACTGGTCTTGTGACCACTTGTTCTCCCCCACTTTGCCTATGGGGGTGTGTCAGAACATTATTGCTTATGCTTTTGTGTAGGTTGTAGTGGGGTAGCCCATATGGGGTACAACCCAATTAGGGTTAGTACTTGTACCCAACTGTTTCATAGTTCATCCATTCTCGTTCACATTTTGTCAGACACCTGTCACCGCGAAGCTGTTGCTACCCGACGATTGGCATATACATGACGCGTTCCACATCAGCCTTCTTCGGAAGTTCGTGCCTACCACGACCGACATCGCACGTCAGCAAGCGGCCCCGACAGCTCGCCCCGTCCCGGAGCCAACCCTTGACCCTTCCAAGATTCTCGCTCATCGTGTCCGCCTTGACGCCGCTGGACGCCACGTGGATTTCTTAATTCGCTGGACCGACCGTTCCAGTGAGGACGACACGTGGGTGCCATCCGCTTCACTGGACGCCTCGACGCTTGTTGGTGATTACCTGGCGCGACGGCGTGTTTCGGCTATTGACTACCTTTCTTAAGGGCGGGGGTGGTGTAAGGAATTTTCCCGAATTCCTTATCGGTGTTGACTGCTTCGCGTACAACCCGATTTTCAGAGTTCGCACGTTCGGCCGATTTCAACGCTGCCGAGGCTCCTCACGTCGCCTTCGGCTTTCCCATCGCCAAACCTGCACCCAACCTCGCTCGTCCGAGGTTTCCTCCTAGCTAGAGTAGTCCTACATTAGTCAGTGCATTCATTGTATTCGCAGTGGATTCAGTCACAGCTTCGTTATTCGTTTACCTGCGCACTCTCTTTTACAACTCATAACACATAGTTTCAAAAATATCTCAAATTTAGTTTTAGTTTTACTAAAAAAGTACAGCTTTCTGGAAGTTTGCTCGTGCGAGGCCCAGATTATGTTCAAAACTGGTCCTGCGGGGCTTTTCGACACGTGTCCTATTTCTTATTAGCAATTCCTGACGGGGGCAAAAAACATAAAACCCCTAGGGGAACCAGGACACACGTTCGGGAGGGACCAACCCTAAACACGGGGACCCGCTTGGTGTTTAGGGTTGATCCCTCCCGCAAATGTGGCCTAGGTCCCGAGGGGTTTTATTATTTTTTGCCCCGTCGAATTTTGTTCAAAGCGAAACTGGACACGTGTCGAAAACTTCGCCTCGCAGGACCAGTTTTGAACATACTTTGGGCCTCGCGTGAGTGAAATTCTAGAAAGTAGTACTTTTTGAGTGAACCCGCGACTAAATTTGAGAGAAATCTGAAAGTATGGACCTGGAATATAGTTTCCCGTAAGTATACTAACACCAGCTTCTTTTGATAACCATTCTCCAGTTTTCCACGTGGAAGTGACTGAACTATCCAGGTGGCCAGTAATGGTTCCCACATGTCAGCCAGGATCCCTTCGGCCAACCATTATGAACTCAGCTCCACAGCCTGGCGAAGAGAGCTCCCTCTTCATGGGAGATGCTGCTCGCGTTGAACACCTTTTTTCTTACGCGCGTCGAGGTTCGGGCAGGAAGTGGAGGGCTCGATGAGGCGTTGGGCCAGTCACGAAACCACGATTCGGGATAATCGTACGGTTGGTGGCGTACTTAGGGATGGGCGGGCTGGCGCCAGATGCTATTTTCATAGTTTTAGCTACAGTACCGTACAGCACCGTATTGTCCTTGCTTCCCAAATTCTTCCACATCTTCCTTCTCTTCCTGCTCGACCTCCTTCTCCTCATCCCCGTCATTGTTCTCCATTCTCGGTGTCTCTCTCACAATTCTCGCGAACGTTCCGTGGTAGGACATTGTTGATGGTGAGACACCACTGTTGTCGTTTGGAAGCGACGCGGCGAGGAACGGTTCGCTTAAGTTGAACTCACCGTCATTAGGCTAAACGCGCTGCAGTCAGGAGTGCGAGAACTCGTGTAATGCACTCGGATTACCTGCAAGAGATTATTCTGCGGAATTTGCAAGTTTACCTTGTCCAAGTAAGACCACATCATATTCTGAGCAAGAGTACCAGTGCTAAGCAGCTGTTGAATTCACGGCAGCAGTAGTGCAGCCATGGCGTGCGTCGTCAACCAACTTCCCACTGGCACACACTCCTTATCAACTGCAAATGAGCACCAGCGCGCGTCGTCACACACTCATCACAATTCACTCCCTTCTCACTCGCCGGACCACCAACCACGGGTCAACCTCGCGCGTCGCTTCCCCACCAAAATGATCCTCTCCTCGAAATTCCCGCCACTCGCGGCGCATTCGACCTTGAGCGCGGCCCGAGCAAGCATGACAACCGGCGCCAACACTAACCGCACTTCTCCTAGCCGTTCCAGGACCAGCGCGAGCACGGAATTTCTCGGCTCTTCGCGTCCGATTCTCGTGGATAATTATGGCGAACGTGCGTCGCAGACCAGATCGTTGGTCGCATCGCGGAAACATCGTAGCCGCCACGCCAGAGGCGGTCGCGGTGCAATCACGGCAGCCGCGGCGGACGCGTCGAACGTTTCGTCAGACGGAGACGGATGGTACTACTATTCTGAGCCCGCTACGAGTAGCGGTAGCGTTACGACCGATGCCGGTGACGATACGAGCAGCAGTGCCAACACAGCTAGCGCTGCGGAGCGCGAGAGCGTGACCCGCGCCAAACGCGTGCGGTCTCTGGAAGACATTATCGAGCGGGTTAGTGCGTGGTCACGATTCTATCAGATCCCTCTCGAATAGAACCTCCACGAAATTCACGTGTGTGTTCAGCCCAGGGTGTTTTTGTTAACCCTCTGCTCCCCTGCCTTCCCCTCTGTTGTACGCCGCCGTCCCGTCCCTCACCGTCCCCCGGCAGAGCATCTTCAACTTCCGCTTCTTCACCCTCATGGCCGTCGTGGGGTCGCTCATCGGCTCCGCGCTCTGCTTCACCAAGGTGAGCGCGCGGACTGGCCTCCTGCCACGTGGACTGGCTGCAACGTGGACTGGCTTTGCCACGTGGACTGGGTTTGCCACGTGGACTGGCTGAAGCGTGGACTGGGTGCAACGTGGACCGGGTGCCACATGGACTGCGCGCCGCGCGGACTGGGTGCCTTATTGACTGGGTGCCACGCGCCCCAAGTGCCTTTCCTACCGGGTGCCTGCCTGCCGGGTCTTCTGAGTCGTCTCGGAACTAGTCGACTCTCAGTTCGCCCCACTGAGCCGAGAACGGCGATCTGAGTGCGGATTCGGTGGCAAGCGATGGCAAGCGGTGGTAGGCGGTGGCAGGCGGACTGGTTGCTTGGCAGACTAGGAGGGCAGGTGGACAGGGGAAGAGTGAGATCACGTGAGGGTATTTTTGAGACGTCTCAAAGGCACGTGAGTGTATGCGAGGACAAGCGAGACTGAAGCCATTGCTGCATTGGAGGGACTGAGGCGTTGTTTCAATCATTCCAGCTAGCAGCAGCACAGCAGCCCCAAGGAAACAACAACGCTAACGTTAGCCCGCCAACCTGGACCCCACCCCTAACCCCACCTCTGTTTGAAACGCGAGACCTCTCCCAGGGCTGTATCTTCGTGGCTCAGTCAATGAAGGAGCTTCTGCTCTTCTGCTGTGCCTCAGTAGATGACATTTTTTTTAGGCGCCTCAAAACCAACCTAAACCTCTACCCCAACCTCACCCCCAACCGCAACTTGAAACCCCTGTCAGGGCTGTATCTTCGTGGCTCAGTCAATGAAGGAGTTTCTGCTCTTCTGCTGTGCCTCAATAGATGACATTCTTTTTAGGCGCCTCAAAACCAACCTAAACCTCTACCCCAACCCCAACCCCACCCCCAACCGCAACTTGAAACCCCTGTCAGGGCTGCATCTTCGTGGCTCAGTCTGTGAAGGAGTTTCTGCTCTTCTGCTGGCATGGCGTGGGCACGGGCAAGGTCATTCTGCTGCTCGTGGAAGCCGTGGGTGAGTGCAATGCGGTGCAGTGCGGTGCAGTTTGGTGCTGTGCAGGGAAGAGACGGGAAAGACCATGCTCGGCTCAAGGTAAGCCTGGTTACTCATTCATTGGTGTGATGAAGAGCTTTCATGGGAAGGAGGGAGGGCCATGGAAGGAAGGAATCTACGCACTGGAGCAGCCTTGGAGGTGAATGTATCAGTTACGAATGCTCTTCCCCTTCTCATCTCCTCATTTCATCTGCACTTCTCATCCGCTCATTTCATGTGCGACCTCAGATGCTCTCTCTTTCAGCCACACGAATGCGAAAGATTCGGCCCTCAATTGGCCCTCAATTGGCCCTCTTTCTGCCCTTCATTGCATCCCGGGGTACAAGACGGTTCAAGAGACAGAGATTGAGATTGTATATCCAATTACAGCAAAGCCCCTGGCTTTCCTCCTTTGCATTAACTATCATTCCCCCATTCCTGCAACACTGTCCGAAGTACCGAGCCGCCACTTTCGATTCTCCCCATTTTCCTCTTCTGCCCACCCTCCAACCCAACCCCCGCTGCCTGTCCCATCACACCCGCAAAACCCGTGCCGCCAAACACCAGACGTGTGCCTGATTCGCACGCTGATGCTCATATCGGCAGGCCCAGACAACAGTATTCTGGGACGCTTAAAAAAAGTTGCCAGTAATATTTTGACTAAAGCCGCCACCCCCCACCCCCCCCACACCGACCCTGTAGCTGTCAAACTGGCCCAACAACAGGCGTCTACCTCGTCCGCACTCTCATGCCCATATGCAGCATTGGGCTGTACGGCCTTTGAGGCACCATCATGATCATATTCGTTATCAAGGTCTTTGTCACCTCCTGGGATGCCTCCTCTCTCCTCACCTCTCCTCACCTCTCCTCCCCTCTCCTCCCTTCTCCTCCCCTCTCCTCCCCTCTCCTCCCCTCTCCTCCCCTCTCCTCCCCTCTCCTCCCCTCTCCTCCCCTCTCCTCCCCTCTCCTCCCCTCTCCTCCCCTCTCCTCCCCTTCTCCCCTGCCGTCTCCCCCCCCCCCCTTGCAACACCAGACGTGTACCTGATCGGCACCGTCATGCTCATATTCGGCATCGGACTGTACGAGCTCTTTGTCAACTCCCTCGACGTGCCCCGCGACACATCCCTGCTCTCCCCTGAGGCCCGCGCCGAGCTCTCACAGCGCATCTGCGGCTCCAGCCTCTTTGGCCTCTTCCGCCTCAAGGTGGGTGCACCGTGCACGTGCTTGCTGCAGTGCTGCGTGATTGGGGTGCCTTACACTCGCCCTCTCACAGCGCATCTGCGGCTCCAGCCTCTTTGGCCTCCTCCAACTTGAGACGATTTTTGGGAATTCTACAAACCCAACTGCTTCCGGCTCAAGGTAGGCGCATTCGCTGCAGCATTGGGGCAGGCCGTGCAGCAGCATCTGTTGTGGCTGGGACGGCTGGGACGCTCCACCCACTCTCTCCCCCTCCTGACCATATTGTGTCTGCTTTGAACCCCACACAACACCTCTCTCTCCCTCCTCACTGACGTATCACTGCCATTCTCCTCCACACGCCCCCCGTAAGTGGCCGGGGATTCATACCTGCAATGGATGAAGGCAAAGTAAGCTGCTCCTCCAGGAAGAGCTCGACTCATTCTCGTGCCCCTATCCCAACACATGACCTTCCTCGCGCACCTCTGCTTTCGACACCCCTCAAATCTCAACACATCCCTGAAACTCCATCACGCATTCGCTCCCGGTTCACGGTCCACCATTCCCCTCTCCCCATTCCCCTCTCCCCATTCGCCTCTCCCCATTCCCCTCTCCCCATTCCCCTCTCCCCATTTCCCTCTCCCCATTCCCCTCTCCCCATTCCCCTCTCCCCTCACCCTTCTTCCCTCTTCCCTCCTCACCTCACTGCACTGGCACACCCCCCTTGCGCGCCCCAAGTGTCTAGAAATTCAGTCACCGGATGAGATGACGCCCAAGCTGGGCCACGAGAGGAACAATCAGCTCCATTCCATTCCCCCCATCCCCCCATACCCCCATCCCCCCATCCCTCTCCATCAAACTGCTCTTCCCCCCCAGGCGCGCCCCAAGTGGCTCGAGATTCATTCCCTGGATGAAATGAAGACCAAGCTGGGCCATGTGATAGTGATGATCCTGCTCGTGGGCATGTTTGAGAAGAGCAAGAAGGTGCCTGTGTCTTCCGCCCTCGATCTCCTCTTCTTCTCCGCCTCGGTCTGCTTTGCTGCTGGCTGCCTGTTCCTGCTCTCGAAGCTTGTGGGCGGTGGAGGAGGAGGCCACGGGGGGAATGGCTCTGGCGGTGGTAATGGCGGGAGAAGCCATAATGGCAGCAATTAGTGTTTTTGTTTAGAAGAAGGATAGCAGAACCATAATGAAGAAGGGCATGAAAGGGGACGCTGCATCTGCAGCAGCAACAACAGCAGCAGCCGTAAGAGCAGCAATAGCAACATCAACAAGCAGCCCCAAGAGGTGGACACTGAACCTCCTAGCTGTTGAATAGGCTGGATGATGGCTGCATGTTAAAGATAATAGGATAAACGCACGGCACATTCGTGTGGCATGTGCCTGTGTGCAAGGACAACTGTATATTTGCGCAACTGTCATTAAAATAAATGACACCCCTCCTCAAGCAGTCACTAGATCTTATAGAGTTACAAGGAGGAAACAACTGCAACTAACTACGTAGCATCTTATTTCACTAAGACCCGCTAAGTAGAGTGGCAACCTTTTCTACACGTCTCATAGCAAGCCAGGCACAGAGGCTACTTGTGTAGACTCCTTGCACGCGTCTCCTACAAGCTTGGTCAGTAGTAGACTTGAAGGCACGTCACGTCACTTCTCCTCCCCACGTCTGCAGATACCGTATAGGCACGTCCACTGTAACCGGCCGGCATGCTACTAGTTTTGAGGCGCCTCAAAACCAGATACGGGGTATACTTACGTCCACTCCACTGTCACCGGCATGCAGCAAGCTCTTGCCCTTGGAGGGCATCGCAGCTGTATCAGCTCAGCACTCCAACCAGGAGCATCTCGTACCGCGGGGTCCCCCTCCCTCCGCAACCTCAACAACGCGCATATCCGCCCCACCCACGCTTCTCCGTCGCGCGCCAATCCAAGCGCCGCCGTCGCCGTCGCGCGCGTCGCAGCCGCATCGCCCACCGGGACTACCGCCACCGCCACACGCAGCCGCCATTCCCATGAACGGGAGGAGCGAGACCGAGCCGCCGTTCGTGCTACGAGTCAAGCGGCGCGGGCCTGTAACGCTGCCGGTGCTGTCGCTGCTGCTGCTGGCACCAGTAGAGCTGCGCGTGTCGTTTTCTCCTTCAACCCATTTATCCTCTTCGTCACCCGCAGTGTGAGCGGCGGGAGCGGCGAGACCCCGCTCCCCACTGTCCGCCTCGTCTTCGTCGGGCAACGCGCTACCCCTGGCTTCCCGCAGGTCTGCACGAGGGTTCCGCAGCCTGGCGCTCGCGTCAATCGCGCCGTCAACCACGCCGCTCTTAACGCCACCATCGCCTGAGAAAGGGCTCTCCATCACGCGCGCGGTACCGCCAATCTCCCGGAGCGCGCCACTGGCGATACTGGCGGCCTCGCGCCGGTGAAGCGCAACGACGGCGGCGTTGACGTGCTGGCGGACTTGGTCCAGCTGGCGGGTTTTCTCCGCCACTCGGCGCAACCGCTCGCGCGCAATCTCGTTCATCCGCAACAGCTCCTCCGAGTGCTTCTTTAAACGAGCGACGAGCACATTTTGAAACGACGACGCCGGCGCAAATGCCGGCGCAGGTGCCGGCTTCAATTCCGGCGTGGAGGGGGCTGCAACCGGCGCTTGGTTTAGCTGCTGTCGGTCGTATTGCAGCGTGACATGCGCCTTCTCCTGCGGAGCTGCTGCCGCCGCCGCAGGCGTGAAGTGCGGAGACAGCGACACGTCGGCAAGTACTCCTTGCGCAAGCTGCTGCAGCTGCAGAGCGGCTTGCCGCGAAGGCTCGCCGTCTTTAGGAGCTGCGGCAGTGGTTTGGAAGTTCTGCGCGTCGACCCTCGGTCGTTTGCAAAGCGTGGCGTCACCTTCAAAGTGGCCGTTCCCGGCGCTGGTTTCCCGGGCTGGTTTTTGTTCTGCAGGCCTTTTGGAATGCGCTGCGGTTGCCATCAAGCGCGCGGAAGCCATGTATTAATTGATATAACGATATTACAGAGAGAAAGCGAGGATTCTTGGCGGTCTTTAGCAACAGGTAAGGCGCTAGTTGCGGTGCACGATATTGAAAACAGTACGAATGCTAATGCTTATGGACAGGAATATTGATAACGGTGTGAATGCCGACCTCTCCTGCCTACTCTCAGATAATCGTGCTTTTTTATTTGCGCCTTATGAAATGCCTGCTTGCCGTGATTTGTCTCTTGCTGGATTGGACTTGTCGAGTTGTCATCGTTGTCCTCTCATCGTCACTCGTCTGCCCCACTCTCCCTCCCTTGACCTCCAACGAATTCAGGCGGGGTGGAGGAAGTCACCAGTGCAGCCCGTTTCCTGCCCCTCACCTCGAAGCAACCCCTTTCCGATGTTCATGCAAGAGCGAGCAACCTGCCCGCTTCGTCCCCCCGTTGGCGCGCATGAGTACGGTTGGGTTGGTTTGGGTTGGGTTGAATTTTGGTGAGTCTGAAAAAACAGACCTGGCAACGTCGTGCATACAACTCGCGTCGCACGCACCGAACCCAAGAACGAGCGCGACGTCAACCACACCACTCCAGCCAGCCCGGCCAGTCTCAGGTTGTTGTGCCGGGCAGGTCAGCAGGGTACAATGATGTATGAGATGAGGAGAAGCGGGTAGCAGTCGACCCCTTCCGAGTCAACAAGGGAGCCGAGTCTGCAGACAAGGAAATGCTCTGGGTATGTTGGGCCTCGCTGCTATCATTCTGACTGGACAGGTTTCTAGTCCAAGAAAAAAAATCAGAAATCATGTCGACTTCCAGTTTTTATCCTTCTGGAGAACCTAGAGAGGCAAGCTTAGGTGATAAATGAGAGCTAAGTGGAAGCAGCTTTGTCTTGTACTGCTTGGCAGGAACCACTGGATATTTCAACGAGAATCTAGATAGACGACAATTTCCGTGACGCAGAAATATCTACGGTCCATCACCACGCCCCAGACTGTTCACGAACCAAGAAGTGCGGCTTGGATCACGCGTGCGGAGGAGGGACTAGGATGTGACTCCAGAGGAGTTTTTGCCAGCCCAGAGAGGCAGCAATTTCAGCTCCAATCCAGCTCCCTTGTTTTGATTCACTCGGTACGAAAAATCCAGGGCATTCCAGGCTGTGCTGTTGCGAGCCGCAGGGGCCTCAGGGTCCCGTCTGGTGCGGTGAAAAGACGGTGGCGCTACTCCACCGTAGCGGCTCGGTATTGCTGGGTCGCGCCTCCATGCAGCGTGTCACTCATCGAACGTTTCCCAATTGTAAACCTGGAAACTTCCACAGATTTCCACGAAATACTGTACACCCTGTTTCGCGCTAGCAGAGCATCTGGTTGCAGAACATGCACTGGTTGTAGAACGTCACCACGTTTGAAATGGTCTTATCACCGACGGTACAAGCACATTCACAAGAAAGCGGTTAGCTAGGATGCTGCATGGTAAAGAACATTAAACAAGCGTTTTAAAGCGGTTGAAAAGGGTATACAGCGATAAAGAAAAATTTTGCCCCCAGTACCACTCCGTCAGCTGGTGCGGCTTTGCCCGCAGGTTTCAGCCATACGGTTTATGGCACCTGACCGCACTGTAGCAGCGAATCGCGCAAGGTGAGAGGGTCGAGAAACAGGGTGTACTAGTGAGTCAAGGCAGTTTGTGAAAGCCTTTCTGATTGGATGACTGATTTGGTCAACAGTTAGGCAAATTTGCAATTGCCAGTTTCGGCGGATGATCGGACGAGTGTTGCACTGGCAGTTTTGAATGGAGGACCTGATTCCCTTGCCCACGGAATATCTCCAAGAACACGTGGTCAGGGCTGCCACGCTGTACACTAGGAAGAATGTGGACGTAGCATGAATGCCATGGTGGACAACATGCGATCGATTACCGGACAATTCGAACTGCGATCTCATTTTCCCAGTGCGGGTTTGCGAATGCAATATTTTTGGGCAGAACCACGCGGCTGCCCGTGTTTAGGTTTGGGGCTCCCCGTGTTTAGGTTTGGGGCTCCCCTAATCGCATGCCATCCAGATGGGGTTTATTGTTTTCTGACCACGGGCAGATTACGAACCATCAGCTTCTTCTAGGCGGACTGTTAGGGACTGCATTCGCGAACCGCGCTGGCTTAATTAGATTGCAGCTGAAGTTGTCCCGATCGCGATGAAGCTTGGTTGCACGCTGATCTGAGACTGAACAATCGCATGGCACGTGGTTAGAGTATGGCTTGTTGATAAATTTGCCACGCCAGGTTTTTCATTCTGGCTCTTGTCGGGTGAACGCTAACCGAGGCTGTGTCGGCTAGGGAGAGTGAATTTCCAAATTCGTCTACATGACCCCCAACTAGAGAAATGCTACGCATAATTTCAGAAGAGTGACTGCGCTAAGATATATTTAATAAGCAGCGAAGCAGAACAATCTTACACATATTTCCATTGTGAATCCCCAAATCTCACCTAGTCTGACATCCACTGACAAATGCAATACCCAACACATTAACAATTCCCATGGAAGAAGCAGAACCATCAGTTCGGCACTCCTTGCCACAGCTTCTCAGAGCCCCATTTGGTTGACAGCAGTACAGAACCGTGCAGCTTGGGGCGAGAGCAGGTTGGCAGGTAGGGTTTTGCAGAAGTCCTCAGGGGACAGCTGACGCACCTCGGGTGCAGGCTCCTGGGGAGGAGGAGGAACCTGCAGCAATGGAAGGAGCGGGTCAAGAGAAGTCAGAACCATGAGATCAGAACCATGAGACCAGAAATGAGAGGAATAGAAAATAATCGGAACCACGAGTACGGTGAAAAGACTTCAAATTCTAGAAACAGCGGAGATGGATATACAAGAATGGGGAGTATGGCATAACGAGTCGCATGTCCCAAACGACAGCAAGACGGGAAAAAACAGAGCGCAGGACAAAAAATAACGATGCAAATGCCTACACACCTGAGTCACACCCCCGGCAGCGCCTACAACAGCGCCTCCAGTGGCAGCAGTCGTGGCGATCTGAGCAGGCAATAGCAGCGGCACGGCAGCCAGGCCAATGCCCCCAATGAGCAGGTTCCGCAGGAAGCCCGCTTGCTCCCTCAGCCCCTCCCTGTCGGCCGATATCACCTTCTGGTCCGCCTGCAGTGCTGCCATGGCCTCCCTGAGCGACGCCAGCTCCTCCTGCAGCT